CATTAGAAATCTAAGGTCTCCTGGGAAAACAACATTGTTGAAAGAACAGACTCTGGATTCAGATAGCACAGTGTTTTAATCACAAAGCACTCATGAAATACCAGCTCTGGGAGTTTAGGCACCACCTCCACACTTACAGCCTCAATTGCCACCTCTTTAAATTGGAATGAGAGAATGTTTCCCACTCAAGCTTGGGTGGAAAGCAAATGAGCTGACATTCTTGGTCCAGAATCTGGTAAATCTTGAATATTCTACAAATGCTATTCCTTTTCTCACTCTTACTGTAGCCCCAGGTTTATTGGATCATGAAGCCAAATCCCCAACTTTATCGGATCATGAAGCCAGTCGTGCTCAAACATTAGCACTACATGGTGGAAAGTGGTTGTACTTTTGCTACCACTTCTGTAATCTGGGTCAGACACTTTCTTGTGAAGACAGAGGCTGAGGCTGGAACTCTCTAGACTCGTTAGAACTGTAGAGTTCCAAAGGTGTACTTTGTACTTGTTTATTTTTTACTTTCTATCACCTAAGCTTCATCCATTTCCTGTCTATTCTTGTTCCTATCCCAAACTGATTGTAGTGGTTTTCTTTTTTTAATTGATGAAATATCTTAACTAATTGTTTTAGATTTTTTTTCCATTAAAAAGGTAATACATATGTACTTACTTCTTATAGAGTTCTTTTGATCATAACTCAAAGTCCAGTTCCCTGACTCTGCTCTGCAGGGTAAATTTGGTGTATGTCCCTACAGACTATGTGTTATTTTATTTACACACATTTAATAAAATTATAATTAAAAAATTTTTTGAGTTTTAAAAAAAATATACCTAATGTCACACTATACACATTGTTCTGCCATTTATTTCTGGGAAAGAACTATTCATACCTAGAGGACTATTTCCTTTTTAAACTTTGGTAGAATATTCCATAGAATGTATCCAAGGTTATTGTGTCATTCATCTTTTGGAGAATATATATGTAGACTCCAGTTTTTCAACAGTTTAAACAATGCTGAAATAGATATCATTGTTTATTTCCTTCTATGTTTTCCCTGGGTATGTATTGAGTAGTGGAATTACAGAAGCATCAGGTATACACATTTTTAAAAAGTATCGATAGATATTGAAAATTGCCACCCAGAGGGTCACCTCCCCACTTCCCCTCACCACAGGAGGTATCATCATTCCTTATCCTATCCCCTCATTAATTTTTTGGAGTCCCAGGTGGTGCAAACAGTTAAACGTTGGGCTGCTAATGGAAAGGTTGACAGATTGAACCCACCCAGAAGTGCTTTGGAATAAAAGCCTGCACTTGACTTCACACCACATGAATTCTGAGTGTTCCACCAAACAAGGGAACAATGCAATTACCCAAGGATTTTGAGAAGGATGGTGTTTAGGTGAAATGCAAATGAAACAAAATTTGATAGGTGCATACCAAAGCTGGACTGTATGTAAAGGGGTTGACATCAGACCTAAACCACAAAGCAAACACAGGGTCTTGTTTCCTTGGAAAATACAAAGCTAAGATAGATGTGAAATCTTGGTTCAGTTGGAAATCGACATTGCTTCTCTGTATCAAAGTGACTTGATCCTCCAAACTAGAGTTTATTTTTTGACAGCTGCATTTAATCAAATTATTTCCAAACTCAGTTGATACAATAATAATAATCTTCCCTGTAATCTGTAAATGTAATGACTACTTTTACAGGTGCCTTAATAATGAATCATTTCTTAGTTAAACCCTAATTTTCCCTTTAAAACAATTACGTCGTATTTCTTAATTGAATAGAATAGTGATGTATTTGATTTGTTAAGGTTTTACCGAGAGTTCTTTTACATCAATGTTAATAAGTGAATTCAATCTTTAATTTTTTCCTTTGTATTGTTATTATTATAAGAAATTTAAGTAGAGTTCATTGATATTTTTTTTTCCCCACTATAGAGACCAAAGCCAACCAATGACTGAAGAAAACTACACCCGCATCACAGAGTTCATTTTCATAGGCTTAAAGTACCACCCGCGTCTGCAAGTTTTCCTCTTCTTGCTCTTTTTGTTCTTTTACCTGGTTACTATGACAGGAAACCTGGGCATGATTATTCTCATTCGTATTGATTCCCGTCTTCATACTCCCATGTACTTTTTCCTCAGTCACCTGTCCTTTGTAGACATCTGCTTTTCATCAGTCGTTGGCCCCAAGATGCTCACCGACTTCTTTGTGGAAAGGAAAGTCATCTCTTTCCTGGGATGTGCCTTGCAGCAGTGGTTCTTTGGGTTCTTTGTGGCCATTGAGTGCCTTCTCTTGGCATCCATGGCCTACGATCACTATGTGGCCATCTGCAACCCATTGTTGTATTCTGTTGTCATGTCCTGGAGACTCTGTGTACAGTTGCTGATTGGACCCTATGCTGTTGGATTTCTCAACACCATGACTCACACAACAGCTGCTTTTCGACTACCCTTTTGTGGCTCCAACATTATCAATCATTTCTTCTGTGACATGTCTCCTCTTCTTTCTCTTGTGTGTGCTGATATATGGATCAATAAGTTGCTTGTCTTCATTGTGGCTGGAGCTGTACTAGTCGTCAGTAGCCTGACCATTATCATCTCCTATTTTTACATCCTTCTCACCATCCTAAGGATCCGCTCTACCGATGGGAGGCGCAAAGCCTTTTCCACCTGCTCTTCCCACCTAACAGCCATTTCCATCTTGTATGGCACTCTCTTCTTTATCTATGTGCGGCCGGGTGCAATTTTTTCCCTGGATCTCAATAAAATGGTGTCGGTGTTCTACACAGCTGTGATCCCCATGCTGAATCCTCTCATCTACAGCTTGAGAAATAAAGAAGTGAAGGATGCTATGCTCAGGACGGTCACCAGGAGGAAGTTTTGCATCAAAATGTAGACTCCCATCTTGAATAGAAAATAGATCAAAGGAAAAGCATCCAGTTGGTGGCTAGACTATCTGGTCATGATCACACGTTGCTAAGCCATTTGTAGGAGTTTTGGGATGGAATTCTTCTGTAAGACTTTTATTAGC